TAGAGCGCTTGCTCCGTGATCAAAAGGTCGTGGGTTTAAGATCCCGCTGAGACAGACCAAAGTCGATTAAAAAAAATAGGTAGCAATTGTTCTTCGCCTAGGTCCTGGCTCTTTGAAGTGAAAATTGTGGGTGTTTCGAACGAGACATTAAAACCCGAGGCCCTTTGTCAGGGTAGGCATTGGCAAGATAAAGATCCCTCAATGCGCGATGTCCCTAAGTGACGAGTAAAGGTCTGAATTTGAAGCCTTTCAATGGTATAAAGTGACCTCTCTATATGAGTGAAAAATCTCGAATGGGACGTAAAACAAGGATCAATCTTTTTAAACGTTTATATTTTGTGACACAACAGATGACGATGTAGGTATAATAAACATGGGAGCTTTAATTTTGTAGTAATTGGTGGCATTATGAAATATCACTTTAATCTATTCTATATTTTCTATTTTCACTAATCATCGTAAAATTAATTTCAAATTAATTTAGAATGCATTTAAAATTAGAAAAAAAAGACCTAAAAACTTAATGTTTTTCTTTTGTTATCGTGATCACAGCTAATTCAGTGTGAGGCATCCGGCAAATTTAGCCATTTCCGAACACATGATGCGACGGACAGCTTTTCTTTATAATGCACTGAATGCTTCATGTAAATTTATCGTGTTAAGTCAAGGAACTTTTTTTTACTTTTGCATATACTTTGAGATGCGTACATTTACACAGTGACATGGTGAATCAATTGTTCCCTCTTTATGCGTAAGAATTTCATCTACTTCCAAAACGGAAGTACACCATTTCCCTTTAGTGTAAAGATTATTTGTTCATTTGTGTTTTGAGTTAATCTTACTCATACATTAGTTATTCGTTTATTAGGTAACTGACTGCTCTGTATATTCCGAGCATTATGTAGGCCACCAGTTTGACATCTAAATATAGCATTTTAAAAGGAATACTTGCTTCAATTTATCTCTCTCCTGTCGGCCAATTTAGATGTACCACCCATCTACCACCCATCTACATAATTTCATGATAGATAATAACATGATTTATTATCACTGTATTAAATGTCTAATAAACCCCACTTTGGTTGATATCAAAATGTTAATCTATACAATAATATGAAGCATCTAGCACATCTTGTAGAACACGAGTATGTAAATATTGTTAAATTATATAAAATATGAAATCATGATAGGAAATTCAGGTTAAAAAAATTCTACTATATATTCAAAATTTGTAAATGTCATTTACTTTTAAAGAAATGTGTCAAAAAAGCAAGATGAGACATGAAAGCTATTAAAGCGTACTGTATCAAAATTCCTCATCTTTGTCGCAAGGACATTGAGAAAAAACATGGTAAAATTGATTTTAACAAAAAAGAAGAGGAATTACATGCTTCCATCTGTCTGTTTTCTGTACTTGAATGAACAAAAGAAAATTGGTAATGCAAGTATAGCATTTGCAACATATAACAGGACAAGATCCTTACAACCGTTTGTTTCTTTAAAAGAATTACTGAATAAAGGTTTTTAAAAAAAATATGTCTTCAATGTCCTTTTCCCTTGACCTCTTCATTGCTCTGAATTAGGGCTGAATGCAAATAAATATAAAGTCAAGGCAAACTAGTAATAATTTTGTGCCCATTTGCACAAAAAGAAAACAAAATGAACAGTGTCTTTTTTTCGATTGATCTAATATTACCTTTGCCTCGATAGGTTAGAAAAGAATAGTAGAGTTTTTTTCTCTAAGGTGTCCACCAGGTTTCACAGTAAAAGGATGTCAACAAAACTACAAATATCCAAATTATAGTGTAAAGTATCAGTCAGAATGTGATAACTTGGAAGAAAAAGTGTTATTACGCTACTGGTTGTAAAGGTAAGGTAAGTGGGGTGTTGTAAAGGAAAGACTATCGAATGAATAAACATTGATGCATCATGCATTTATATTTGAGAGTTGTATAAATTTCCTCTTTTCGTGTGGTTTGCTTTAGAACTATTTTAATGTTAAATGAAAGTCTTACAAGAAGAATCTACATTGTAGTTCTGTGTGACTCTTTGTCCTCTACGAAAAGAATGAAAAGAAAAGAACTTTAGGCGACTCAGTTCTTTTTTTTTCTAGAAAGAATGATTAAACAATGGAAAGATTTTTTTTCAGCAGATAAAGCATATTGTACATCGACCGAAGATGAGAGAAGAATTCAAAGGTCATGCTTGATGAACTTGGTTTTGCACTGTTGAACTTTGTTTTTTAACAGTAATCCAATAAACTTTATGTATGTATTCAGTATTTCCTTACAAACTCCTTTCATTATACATCAAAAAGCTCTGATGCAAAAGATTTTCAATTTTCTTATGGTTCACGTGTATTCCAATTTGAAAATTTATTGTTTGTTTGTGAACTAACCTCATCACTTTTATCTCTGAGTTTTGATGTAACATTAACTCAATCAAATAATGTTAATATATCAATGTGAAAGTTATATAGCTATCATTTCTGTAGCTATACTTGGTACAGAGTTGCCTCTTGGTACAGGTGGGAAGCACTCCTAGTGTTAACACTGAACAAAATCCCAGCCCATTAATTATTGATAAGTAGAAGAAGAGAATATTCAAGCCAAACATGTGGTGTGCGTATGATGTTATTCTCAGAAAAAGGCCTTTATAACTGTGGCAACTGATTCTTTGAAAAGACAGCGTCTGGCGGATTCTATATTGATATGTATGCTGAAGTACTCTAATTATTTTAATCCTCTGCTGACTCAATGCTGGGATATTTATGCCAATATAATGGTACTGATACATGTAATAGCATTGATGTTTGTAATGCTTGTGGAAGTACGTTCATTCAAAATCAGGTTTAAATGTTAAACAATGAAATAGCTAATAAGACCATTGTTTTACATTAATGTATAATTAAATCTATTTTCTTGATACTAGTAATTATGGATGGCGTGTTATATGTTTACTAACATAATTTCTACTAGTATTTGATGATTGTACATGTATTACATAAATTTGTCAGCCAAATTCAAAACTAATAAACATTAATTTTGTCAATTGAGATTGAAGATTTTAAGAAAGAAACAAAAATTCAATTAAAAGAATCCCTACTTTTATATATCTTAATTCTTTCCTACATAAGTTCTGCGAAAGTTGAAAATATCCAAGCGTAATTTTATGATGTTTCTATCCTGGTTAGAGATTATTTGTCAACAAATAAATGACGGCCTCTTTTTAAAAAAAAAAAAAAAAAAATACTGATTTTAAACAAAGTTGCTGGAAACCCTTGAACATCAAATTATTTGTCAGTAACCTGCATTTAAACGTCTATAGTGAGTAAAACATCCAGATATGAATCAGTTGTGACAGATTTTGAAGTGTCTCTCATTTTGAGTCGAATTATGAATGATAAAGAGTATTGTCATTAAAAAAAATCACTAATTTCAATATATATTAGATTATTAGATTATATATATTGCAGACCAAATCAAGAATTTCCTCTTTTTTTCTTCTTCCTTCTCCTTCTTCACTAGATTTTTTTTTTAAATTAAATTCTGCGCTTTATATATATATAAATATATATATATATATATATATATATATATATATATATATATATATATATATATATATATATATATATATATATATATATATATATATATATATATATATATATATATATATCTATCTATATATATATATATATATATATATATCTATATATCTATATATATATATATATATATATATATATATATAATACTCTATATTATTACGCTAATTAGGTACTAGTACATGTGTATTTGTCTAGTATGCCATCTTTTCCAGTACAGTGGGATTAACAAATGTTTTGGTGTTCTGAAAAGACCCTATGACCTTCTTGCCCGAAAACCAATTTCCCGAAGTGACTGTGCACAGTGTTTGCCCATATATGATTTTGGTGTGTACCGATAGTGGTCCATGAGGTTGCAACACAAGCAGTCTCACAGTTAAAAAAACAAATGGTATACAGCAATTAATTGACTAGTCATCTAGTGCCTTGGTGTCCATACCCTGTCCACCAAACTGGTTGGCCCAATTTTAAGATAAATCTTGAAATTTGCGTGTGGTGCTTACTTAATGCCGTGGCTATCTATAGTCAATATTTTATGTTTGTTAATCTATTAGCTACATTTTTTCACGGTGTATATACTTTGAAAATTGCATCGTTAGAAATTATTATGAGGAAATGTACATTAACTGCAAGTTTAATGAACATAAAAACAGCTTTTCATGTGACGAAATGCTTAAATGAACTTAGTTTTAGTAATGTTTGTAGTAAACAACAAATTAATACAGCTACTTTAAAAGTCATTAAACAAATGATTTTGGATCACGCTAAACAATAAACTGAAAGTTCGCAGAAATGTTTGCTTTATAAATAGCTAACTTTCGACTGTTTATTTTACAGTTCCTACTGTATTTAATATGCTGTATTGCTCTATATGCTGTATTTTTATGGCTGTCATTTGGAAAACTGCTACAAAATGACAGCCTTTCGTGAATGAAACATCAACTTCAAACTAAAAGTCACTTGCAGACAAAGGAGTAAACACCTAGAAATCTTAAAGTGACAGATAAAGATTAAGCTCTGGGTTCTCTGCAGCAGGAGAGTTAATTAATCCCAGGGGACTCAATACAACTTCCATCCGTTTATTGGACTGTAGTTATTCTTCTTTGCTAATTCATTCTTAGATAAGAAATAGAATCTACCCTGGGGATAATTCCTTAACAAAGACAAAGAGCACCTAATATGATATAAAACCGTCAGATGGTTATTATTTAATTGAAAAATAAATTGACATGCCTTCGTTATAATGAGTTTCGAAATATGAACTTGAAAATCATTTGAACTTGTGCAGTACATCACTTAATTACAATCTTTAAATGTAGCCTATATATATATGTATGATAATGTTCTCTTTCATCTCGGTTATAGTTTTTCCATGTACTTAACACAGTGTTTACATGTATTTGATTTTTTTAACTATTCCGTTCGAACTCTGAGCCACAAAAAGACTGTCTTTATTGTCCACACATAATCCCCATGGACTCTGAAGAATGCAGTTTCCAAGAAATTGAAGAAACTGTCCATCTTGGTCCAGAATATGAATGCAGCTTTTGAGATTTTCTGATATCAGGATATGACCCTGGCTGTCTGTAGTAATGCCGTATGGACAAAAGGGTTCTTTAGAAGAGGATGGATAACCAGTGTATCTAAATCGTAGTTCATCTTCCTGATTCACGACCACTACTGCACTGGCTCCATTGTCTGCAACACAGATATCAAGGTTTCTGTTTTCACAAACGTACTTCAAGAAAACATCCGACGAATACAGAGGGACGCCTTTATTGTCAAACTGAATGGTATGTTTTTCCGTAGAGCCAGAGTAACGGATGACTTTTGATTGTCCATCATCACTGTTCATGGTTACCAGAAGGTCATTAGAGAAGGTACTGCAGACATAGTAAGGACTCCACTCTTGTAGTCGGATCACTTCTTCTATCTGTTTATTCTTCAAAATGTTTACAGTTCTTGCTTTAGGATCAGCATAAACTAAATCTCCGCTCTTCATGACCGCTATGTCATAAATGTAGTTTTTTGACTTAGTTTTGATTGACTCCATTAATTTGCCTTGAAGGTTGTAGAGCTCCATAATGTTTCTCTCAAATGTCCAAATTTCTTCTCCGTCGAAACATGAAATACTGGATAAGTTTGTAAAGTTGGTGAAAAGGGTGGTGATGAGCTGTGATTTGTCAAGCAATGGTCTGGCTGGAGGGGAGGAGTGAGATTCTGTTCTCTTAAGTGTGTACTCCAGATCATCTGTAGTAACTGATAATTCCGAAAGGGAACCAAAAAAATTACTTAGCTGTTCTGTGTTGAACTTCGGAGGAGATAAAATAGGAAGGATATATGTAGCATTGGGTTTTGGAAGTAAGTTTCTGAATTCAGCATTTCTGGATATGTATGAAAAGGCTAAAGTGACGTCATTGGATGAGAGTATTTTCTCCAGGTCAAGAATTTTCTGTTTTATCTCTAAAACATTTGACGCAATTTCATCATCTTCCTTTGAAAGGATCTTCAGGTTCTTCGCCCTAATCTCTTCAATTTCGGATTTTCTTTTGTTGACAATTATTTCAATTTCTCTATAATAATCTTCTCCTTGTTTCATGACCGCTGTTGTCAGTCCCTCATAATGCTTTTCCAAGTTAGCTTTTACGGCAGTTATATCTGATGCAACTTTTTGAAATTCAGGACGTATTATTTCTTGAAGCTCCTCTAAATCTCTTTTTACACTCTCTTTTTTGGAGCTGTGTTTTTGCAGGACATCTGATAAATTATGCCCTCTATGGTAACCCGAGGATAGACATGTAGAACAAACAGGAAAGTCACAACTTTCACAGTAAAGCTCACAATGTTTCTCGGAATGTTTTGGACACTTGGGATAGTTGGGAATGATGTGCTGTTGCTGCTGATTTCGTTGTGAATATGGCATGACATTGTGTCTTTTGGAAGGATCAGAAAGATGTTTTCCAACGCAGTTCAAACAAAGGCTTATATTGCAAGCTTCACAATGACTTTGTAACACGTCCTTATTACACAAGTTGCAGAGCAGTACATCTTGAGCACAATACCTGGGATCCATTACTGCATGTACTGGAGTGTTTGTTACACAATATGATGATTCTGTAACAATAAACCTTAAATGTTTCAAAAGTAACAAAAGTAAGAATTTCACATGCACGGTGTATACATAAGAAATAAAATAGGTGTAGATAACAAACAGTGATCGATAAAAACCTTTCAAACTGTTAAACAATATATTGTTTAGAAAGAGAGCATAAAACATGGACACTTGGAAATTCCAGAAGTGGGATCAGGTGCCTAGGAGGAGAAAGCATACCCCTGTTGACCGGTCACACCTGTCTTGAGTCCTAGGTATTTACCAAGTAGACGACATAATCCTTAGTCATATTTAGTATAAAAACAATGGCCTCAATTGGTATGAAACATGTCAGTTAAAATACGAATCGATGATGGGTTGTATTTACAAACAAAGTCATTACAACGATCATAGAATTTTCGAATGCTGACTTTAAACAAGGTTATTGAAATCCCTGTAACATTCACTTGCTTGTTAAGGAAAAAAAATGATAATCAGTAATTTCTTGCCTTGAATTTAAACTAACCTAACTCAATGCTAGACTTTTTTCCTAAACAAATATACCCCTATACATACATACATACTTCAAACCATTTGCAAAATAATTTACAATATCTTCGTTTAATCACAATTGGATGTTGGATGTGTCAAAAATTTTGAAAATTTTTTTATCCCTAATTGTAACTAGACTACTAATATTTTATTACAAAAATTAACTGTTTTTTTTATGCCAACTATTACCATTGCTCCAGTACTCCAAAATAAGCTTTTAAAATGCGAGCCTTTAATGAAAAATGGCGCAGGCACCCCTCCTCCACTCCACCCCAAGCCAAAATTTATTTAATTTCTTTTTTTTTTCCTTAAGCCCACCTCTTCAGCTGTAAGCTAGCTTTGCATTCTGATCACTGCAATTGTAAGCAATTTCATTTTGAAATAATTATAATATATAATTACAGTGATCAATCTCAAAAATCCTATAAAACATCCAAGTCTTGAACAGAGCAAAAAATACAGACTTCTGGAAATACCAAGGCCTGAGAATAGTGAGAGTCCCCCTGTCCACATCCGTCATCACATCCGTCATGCGCCCTTTCTTTTGTATATTGTTCAAGTAATCGGAGTAATTCGTAAATGAGACTGCAGGAAGCTTATCAACCCTTTCCTTATATATAATGTACATGGATATACATTTGTAGAACAAAAAAAAACACTTTTGTAAAAATATTATTTCTTTGATACTTTACCTCTTGATTCAGCATGGCTTCCCTCATTATTCAACGATCCTTTGTTTCTGCCATTTAGTTTGAGTCAGGTAATTTGCATATTAAGGACCATCAATGCACTGCACATTTAAGAGTCATAAATGCGTAACTTGTTTTTGTTGGCTTTTTTTTTTTTTTTAATTTAGTTAGAGTGGTCTGTCTTCATATCTGAACTATACAGTTATAATCAATTCAAACAATCATAAGGCCAATAAATTAAATAATAAAATCAATGCTTATTTTCTTTACCAAGAAAATCGTTTTCCTTGGGACTTTTCTTGCAAATCAGAGGCAGAGATCGCTGCGATATTGTTTTATTCCATGGATACCCTTCCATATCAAATAATATTTGCTCTATTGCTGTAAATAATGAATCCATATGCACGAAGCAGGAAGGAAATGAACATAAGAGGCCGGTGTACCAGTACCATAATCAGGTGTACTATAATCATCTAAGTGACCTTGACCCTGCTGTACTTAGATGTTTTTAAAAAATCATATAAAAAGAACCTTGGGGTATTTTGATGCGTATGCCTACATTAAGGCATATTAAAATCAACATTTTTTTTTCCACAAATTCCACTATTGTTAAATCTATGAAATGTGTGAAACCATATGCCAGCATCTGAACACAATGACCGTGGAACTGATTATGATTAACACACGCTACATCAACAGGGGAAAAATGAGATAAAATAAATGTTATTTCTATATCTGTTTAAATAGAATGGGTCATCATTTCAGTTTTTTGTGAAGGAATAGTGAAAGGAAGTGGAAAGATGTATTTTTAGACTCGCAAAACTTTGGCACCAATTAAGATACACTCTATATTAAAAATGTAGTTTACGTATATAGTTAAATAACTGAAAGGACAAGGTATGGTACTGGCCAAATCTGGCCCCTTATTTGATGTAAAAATCAGAACACAGTTAAAACTGTGATAATTTGTAGCTAAGAACTTAAAATGATGCTTGTTTTAAAACCAGCACTAACTTTGATTCAAATCCTACACAGAGGCCACAAGAGGGTACCAAATTAGGACATTTTCCCGAATTTCCTCAATTCTGGTGGAATTTCGTCAAATTTTAGATACTTTTCACTTCGGGAAACATAGAGCACAAGCTTGCCTATCAGAGATTTTTTATACATAAATTGCATCTGATATACTAGTGTATGAAATATATAAATTTGGTAGATAGGCAAGCTTGTGCTCCATGTTTTCTGAAACAAAATGAGCTGTAAAATCAATGAAAATTTGCATAAAAATAAAAAAATTCGGAAATTGACATATTATCACAGACTACCACTAAAAAACAAGTGACACCATTTCTTAATTATTTATTTATTAAGTTTGGCATCATATGGACACGGCTGGTTGAAGATTAATTATTTAAGATACATGTGTTCAGTGGGTGCCGACCCAATTGGTTTTTGGCACACCTCCAATCAAAGCAAACAATCAATCAATCAATATTAACTGTACACATGTCATTTTTTACACTATAAGACTGGCGTTTGCTTCCCAAATTTTGCGGTGCGCCAGCCTTATAAAACAATATTCAATCAATCAATCAATATTCAATTGAATCAATCAATATCAAATTCAATCAATCAATCAATAAATTTATCAATTCAATTAATGAATATCCAATGAATTAATGAATATTCAGTTGAATCAATCAAAAAGTTTCAGTCCAATGAATCAATCCATTTTCAATAATATCAATCAATATTCAATCAATCAATCAATATTCAATCAATCAATGTTCAATCAATCAATGGACATCTTGGTCAATATTTACAGCAACAATACTCCTACAAGTAAGAGCCTCGGCTAACGTCCATACGCTCCTTACAGCCCTTCGGCGCGAAGTCAAAAAACATTAGCATGTTGAAGTACACTAACGGTACAATTAGTGCAAACAATCAGTAAAACCTCGTCTTTGTACACCACAGTCTTTTGACAATGTCATTGTGCAATATTCTAAATTTTCTTAAAAATTCACAGCAAACCCTAAACGTGCAACATTTGGAAATGGTGTGAGAATGGAATGTACATATGCTTGCGCATATATTGCGCGCGCATCCTTCCACGTGGGGCGCTGTGATAAATGGATTTATAACGCATTCACTACATAAATCCGATTATGTAACCTTCTTGTGACCTCTGTGTATCCCATAACTTAGAACCAATACTCATTTTGTGGCAGGGGTGACAAGAGGTTTTTACTGACAAACTGTTGCAACATTCTAAAAGACACCCCAAACCAGGGGCCAAAAAGGGGTCTTAGCCTATCTTGTCCTTTCCGATGAACGGCGTCGGTACATGGCTCACCTAATCCCCTCAGACTCTTTTGAATCCATATTGTGGCCCCACCATAGCTCCAAGGTTCACCATTTTTGAAACCTCGCAACATGGTGATGTTTCAATATATCAATTATTTCTGGAGATTATTTTCATCGTATACGTTCATTATGTTCAATGTTATTCCCAGTTTTAGTCCCTCCTGGGTTTATGATTTTATGATTACTTTGAATTCACACAATTTCTGGAATCTTTACATATATTGAAAATATGACTTGGTGTCGTGATTCGGTGTAGCCCTGATAATCTTGAATTTTAAAAAAAATCTACATAATCCTTGAATTTTTATTTCAGCCCCAGCCATGTTCTTATAAAACATGAAACTGAAGGCCAGCTTTCTAGAAAAGATGATTAAAGATTTTTATCCATATATCTCTATGCAAAATATTGATTCCCTACTGTGGCCCCACGGTACCCTACATCCGGGGGCCAAGGTTTGAACAAATGTAAATTATTTGCACAGAGAAGCTTTCACATTAGGTTACTCTTTTCTGGCACAGTTGTTATTGAGATGAATTGGGATTTTTAATAGAAGCCAGCAAATTTTAAGTATACAACTCCTTGATAGAGGACACGGCTCTTCGTTTAAGCAAATCTGAATTTCATCTACTTCAGGACCGGTCATAAGGGTGGGACCGGTGAAAAGCATGGGACCCGGTGCAAAATTAATGAGAACAAGGACTTTTTTTCTTGTCTTCGAGTAATGGCGCTGCTACTTTTCTTTCAGATAATGAGCTATGGACATCATTTTTTTTTAAATGTAGAAAAATAAGTGAAGCAAATAAATTAAAAAAAAAAATGCCAGTATTCGAAACTACAAGAAAACGCTATCACACAAAATTCACAATGAACATGAACAGAAAATAATTAAAATTATTTATTTAATTATGGGAATTAAAATCAAAACAATTAAACATAAATGATTATGCTGTTGAACGAAAACTGCAATTATTGATGTTTACTTCTGTTTATGTGCGTCTAAATAAGAGTGGTAACCAAGATATTTTCTTTGATAATTGATTAACAGATTTAAACATAAGTGGAAACATTTGCATTTTTTAATATATACGTTGAACCCTATTCTACATATCTTAAATTTTATCTGTTAAATATTATCAGTATCTACTTTAAAACAAGATGTGTTTGTGAAACACTGATGTCCCCGCATGGCAACTTATAGCAAAGGTTAAAAATTCTCAAATGCAAGTCAAATATGTTGGTATGCCCAAAGTAAGGTCTTGTCTCGAGGATTATACCTGTGAAATATAAAACCCTAGCAGCAGCCATTGACTAGATATGGAAAAGGTTTAAGTTTTTCAAAAGTAAGTCAAACATCAAGGTCAAGGTCAAATTGTCAAAATTAATGGTGCCAAAGGAAAGGCCTTCTCACAGTGAATTTCAAGTGAGATATGAAAGCCGTAGCAGCAATCGTTCAAAAGTTATGTCCAAGGTTAATTTTTTTTTTCAAAAGTAGGTCAACCTCCAAGGTCAAGGTCAAAAGGTCAAAGTTGTTCGTATACAAAGGAAGGTCTTGTCACAAGGATTACATATGTGAAGTATGAAAGCCCTAGCACTAACCGTTCAAAAGTTATGGCCAAGGTTAAAGTTTTCTAAAAGTAGGTCAAACTTCAAGGTCAAAGTTGTTGGTATCCAAAGGAAGGTCTTATTACAAAGATTACATTTGTGAAGTATGAGAGTTCAAAAGTTATGGCCAAGGTTAAAGTTTTTCAAAAGTAGATCAAACCCCTAGGTCAAGGGTCAAAGGGTCAAAGTTGCTGGTATCCGAAGAAAGGACTTGTCACAAGAATTACAGATATGAAGTATGGAAGTCCTAGCACCAACTGTTCAAAAGTTATGGTCAAGGTTAAAGTTCGGTAAAATTTTGCAAAACTGGGTCATACTCCAAGGTCAGTGTCAAAAGGTCAATAATGGTGGTACCCAAAGAAAGGTCTTGTCACATGAAATACACATGTGAAATATGAAAGCCATAGCTCCAACAAATCAAAAGTTATGGGCAATGTTAAAGTTTTTGCGAACAAAAAGACAGACAGACATCTAGACAGACGGACGGACAGGGCAAAAATTATATACCCCCGAATCTTGTATACGGGGCATAATAAAAATACATTAACTGGTTATTATTAGATAATTTATTCTTGTTTTTTATGCTTAATGCCATGTCTATGCAATTTAAGACCATGATTGCTTTCACGATCCACTTAAGATACAAAGGACTGTCCTCTACAAACATTTAGAATTTTTCAATTTAAACTTGTATATGACACATTTAAACTTGTATATGACACAGGCAGATCCAGGATTTTTTTTCAGGGGGGGGGGTCCATCCCAGTCAAAAAAAAATTCTAGCCAAAAATTTCTTGACAAGCAAAAAAAAAAAAAAAAGAAAAAGAAAAAGAAAAAAAAATTCCCTTCACAAACGTATGGAATTCCATACACGACAGTCAACTGCTTACTGCGAACTGCTTATTGCCAACTGCTCACTGCTTACTGCCAACTGCTACTGCTTATGGATGATATTGCCTATATTTTAACATAACTTATTTGAAAAAGCGAAGAGGGTTATGTTTACAATTTTGGTAAAACTTAAATTGTGTTTATCACTATACAAATCAACGAAAACAGGATATTTATTCCCCCCCCCCCCGTGAAACAATAATTTCTTTTTACAGGTATCATGAATTGTTATTTCACAAATTCATACCAAATGTTTTTTTTTTCAGGGGCGGGGGATATGTTTACAGGCAAAAGCAATAAAAATATTTACATGTATTTATTTTCAATTTCAAATGAGATAACAAGTAAAAAAAAAAGTAATTTGTGAGTCTGACATGTTGAATTTTACATAAGTTAAACAGTGAGGGCCTTTTATCCATTTCCAATTAAATAAAAATATCATATTAAACAATATCAAATTAGTCTTAACAATTTAATCTATACCAAATTAATTTTGAAAATAAAAGACTGCATGGCCATCAAATGAAATATGCTATAAACTGACTAGTAGATCTTCTAATTCTCAAAGGATACAGATAAGAACTGCTTGATCAGAGATGCTCTAACAGAAATGATTGAGACAGCTAGCCTTCCTACATTGAACCCATTAATTAATTATAATCTTTAACTGGATGCATGTCCACTCATTACTCCCTAGGGATGAATGGATCTGCATTATCTGCTTTGTAGTCTGAATTGCAGTAAAAATGCATATTCATGTCATTCTGTTGATTTTTTAAAAATTTGTTATAAAGATTTATAAAAAGAAACACAAAAACTTTTGATTGGTTGGAGCTATGACTTTCATATTTCACTTGTGTATTCCTTGTGACAAGACCTTTCTTTGGGTATCATCGTATTTGACCTTTTGACCTTGACCTTGGAGTTTGACCCACTTTTGCAAAATTTTATGAGACTTTAACCTTGGCCATAACTTCTGAACAGCTGATGCTTGGGGTTTCAAACTTCACATGTGTATTCTTTGTGACAAGACCTTCCTCTGGATATCAACCACTTTTACCTTTTGACCTTGACCTTGGAGTTTGACCTACTTTTGAAAAACTTTAACTTTGACTTTGGCCATAACTTTTGAACAGTTGGTGCTTAGGGTTTCAAACTTCACATGTGTATTCCTTGTGACAAGACCTTCCTCTGGATATCAACCACTTTGACCCTTTGACCTAGGAGTTTGACCTACTTTTGAAAAACTATAACCTTGGCCATAACTTTTGAATGGTTGGAGCTAGGGCTTTCATACTTCACATATGTAATCCTTGCGACAAGACCTTCCTTTGGATACCAACCACCACTTTGCCTTTTGACCTTGACGTAGGAGTTTGACCTACTTTTGAAAAACTTTAACCTTGGCCATAACTTTTGAATGGTTGGTGCTAGGGCTTTCATACTTCACATATGTAATCCTTGTGACAAGACCTTCCTTTGGATACCAACCACTTTGACCTTGACCTTGACGTTTGACTTTTATTTAAAAAACTTTAACCTTCGCCATAACTTTTGAACAGTTGTATCTAGGTCTTTCAAATTTCACAGGTGTATTCCTCCAGACAAGACCTTTCTTTGGGTATCAACATTTTTTATCTTTTGGCCTGGATTTTGACTTGCATTTGAAGAAACTTTAACCTTCGCCATAAGCTGCCATACGGGGGCACTGGTTTTAAGCTGCAGTGCATATGGACGAATGGACATGCTGATTCCAGTACCCCCCCCCCCCCCCCTATAATTAGTTTTAATTATATTATACAGTCAAATTAGTATATTTTACAATATGAAATTAGTTTTAATTACTTTTCACCAAATGCATTTTAAAAGTTAGACTAGCCAACAAAATCTATTTAATCAAACACGACTGATTCCTTTGTCCAATTCCCAAGAGATATCTAGTTAACACCTGCTTGATCAGACATGCTCTACCAATTAGCTCCTCACACTAAAACTCATTTATTTCTCTCTAATTTGACATGCAATTTTCTGTTATCAAAATTCTCCTTGACCAGTGCTTGATAGTTACACCCATGGGAGAGGTGGAATTTCTCTTATAACATTACATTTGTTATAGATTGCTGTCAAGTATATAATAAAAAAATAAGTATTTTCTTGATTTAACGCTTTTTAATAAGGATACTGCAACACTCTTACATTTTTTGGGATTGTGTAATTCAATGATATAGAGACACAGTTATGTTTAAAAAATTTCACTTAAATTAAAGGTCACAGTGACCTTGAAATGGGTCGCAACATACCGTCTACCTAAGATGCATAAATTGGCCAAGTTTGATGATTCTAAGTCTAATAGTTTTCTAGTATGAGCAGGAGAGGATTTTTCCATATTTGGCCATAGCATTTTAATTAAAGGTCAGAGCGACCTACTTTTAATGTGCGACACACCTTCTACCCAAGATGATCAGCTGACAAAGTTTGATAATTCTAGGCCTAATAGTATCAAAGTTATGAACCGGACACAAAAAAGCTAACAGACGGACGGACGGACATAAACGCCATAACATAATATGTCCCGTCTTAACACGGGCGTATAAAAACTGAGATCCAAGGGTTCCATATTTTGAGATTAAAGTCATTATATCAAATCAAAGTGGTTGGGACTTCCAAGTGACTTCGACATATCCATGGTATTCAAGATTTCAATGTTCAAGATACTGAAGTTCAACTGTATTTCATTCCTTTTACTGATTGTGGTAAATATACAAAAAAAGTCATAATACATCATTAAATAGTTTATTATTCCTTTATATACAATTATCTATGTACAATTTGACTTCATGCAGCAATTTAATCAATTATATTGGAAAAAATTGTGCACTATGTAGGGTTAAAACATAGAATAATAAAAGAAACAACTTAACAATATTTGTTGTCCAACAAAAACAAAGGAGTATCATGAATAAAGTGAGCTGATTTGTTTGCTAATTAAAACATTATAATTAAGGAATGAAATGATGACTGTGCGTGGATTTAGATGAAGGGAAGATAACTCCTACACAGTGTTCCTTGATCTTCCTCTCAACTCATTGATTAATAAAATAAACATATTGAGCTAGCTCAAATATTGTATATTTAAAAAAAATATCAAAGACTGCCCATGCAAAAATAAAACTATTATGATTAGGAAAAAAATAAATAAAATAAACAAAACATATATGCATTACATGCATGTACTGGGTACTATGAATGCTGCCTAAAAAAATCTTCCAAAAAAAAAAAAAACTTAACAAATTGGAATCTACAGATTTAAATTATCAAAATTATTACAACCACAATGTACTGATAAACAAAGATGACAAACTAAACAATAAAGGTCTATCACAGTTTGCCACAAATTATTTCTTTGTCAAACTCAAATGCATTCAGAAAGTTCTACAAAATTCAGACAGCCTTCTTCCAAGTACACGTCAAACAACATGCGACGAATCATTAAGACCCAAAATCAGACAAGAGAAAAATTCATGTACCCCGACTTTATAGCAATCACCTTTTTACAAACATTTTTTTTCACAATTACATCCAACATTGGTATATATTTTCCCATTACCATTCTATATGACACACTGCAAGTCAAACATTTGTACATTTTGCATGGACCCAGATACATCTTAGAAATGAGTGAGAAAACATGAACTTCATTTCCGACTAACATTCAACTATTCTACACATTACACTTCAAACCCCTAACATTTTTACATATGCATTTCTCTTCCAACATTAGTATATATTTTCCAATTACATATTTTACAACACTTTTTAAGCCCAAACATTTGTACACTTCTACTTTTCACAGGTACAAGAAAACACATTTCATTTTTTTTTTACACCTAACATCTGCCCTGCTATATCATCCTTTACACTGCAAGCTAGCAAACAAATTTTTCCTTGTAGATTTTCAAGATATAGATTTTCCCACACATATAGTGTATCGCTAATTCCGCATTCAAATACTAAGCAAACATATATAGCTAGGCTTCATTTCAAAATCTGAGGGTTCACATAATAAATACCACAAAAAATATTTTATTTCATGCAAATACACCATTTTTGTGCAGAGAATAAATACTTTGGTCTAAATATTTACATCTTAGTGCACCACATAAAATTAGACATAAGCCATAAGTTAAAACATACTTTCTCCATCAAGTTAACTACAGTTAAAAGGACAGCACAGGTCACATTCCTCAGACAAAAAACAAGCAATCATTCCTCAATAAAATACATTTATACTTTTTAACTTAAATATGAATACTCTACATATCAATAAAACATGAGATCAGCTCAGCAGACGTCATTAGCACTGAGGTCAGGGAGGTCAAGCTTCCTTGCTGTTGCCAAACCCTCTTTGGCTGCAAAATTGCTGGCTGCAGCTGAAATGGTTGACAGTGGAATCAGGCCTCCAGGTGTGTTCCTGAAGAATTTAGCAGTAGGGGTAGGGCGTTCTGTGGGGGTGATCATCTGCTGGGGAATGATTGGGGAGGACTGAACAGCACTATTCTGAGAGACACTGGCCATGGAAACAGAAATTGGTGACAATTTCACTGGTGGTTGACCGATTAAATGATGCTGGTTCACAAAGGTTGGTTGCCCTGGAAATGTGAACACAGTTGGACTAGGGGAGGAGCTACTGTTGGGGGTAAGGGGAGGACTAAAAGTTACAGGCACCATGAAGTTTACTGCTTGTCCTGAACCATCAGTGGCACTCATCGGAACGCCTTGAATGATCTGCATGTGAGAAATTGAGGTGGCTGGCTGGCGCTGAATGAAAGGTAACTGCAATATGGTAGGTGGCTGGTTTGGCAACTGTACTGCAATTCTGTGAATTTGTCCCTGATTGTTTTTACTACTCCCTGACACCTCTGAATCACACGAATCAGTTGACTGAGAGGGTTCTACATCTGATGAGCTTTGGGATCCTTTTGCATCCATGAATTCCGAGGTTAAAGCTCTCTGAGGAGGTGTTTTCCCTTTGATATCATTTGAAGTTTTTTTTGACTTGGCCTCGTCCTCATCAGTGGGCGGTGAGGGATACTCCAGTCTAAACCGTTTCACCTCAGGTTCTCCATTCTGCAGAACATAGGCCCTCTTAACTGCTTGAAAGGCACCAGCCTCAGGCGTATTCTCACTTTTGACCGGACTCTGTATTTCCTTCACTTCACCTTCCTTTTTGATAGGTACTGGCACTTTCAACGATTTAAGTACAGCATTTATCTGATCTGGGGTCAATGGCAGAGAAGAACTCTGTTTGGCTTTGATAACTATCGTCTCCATAGCCTTTGTATCTTTGGAAACACCCCCTGAGGGCTTTGGCACGGTAGAAGTAGCTGCATCAGTTTTCAATACTGTTGTTTTTGTAGGATGAATGATCTGGAATTCTGTACCCTTTTGCTTAACAATGATTCGTTTACCAACACTCTTGCGAATGGTGCTTGGCTCCTCTTGACTTGAGGTCATTCGAGAATCTGCAAATGAAAAGTGGAATCAATGAAAAAAATAAATCACTTTCAAAGAATTTTTTTTGAAAATTTTACACACACTTGATAAAATTTTTTTAACCCCTAGTAATGAAGGATATTCAATTATACATTGCCTCCCATGCAAAATCTTGAGCACCACATGAATACTTTTTCATACTAAAAAAAAACAACTGTCCTCTACCCACTGTAGATTTAATCTTTTTTCTTTCTTTTTTTTTTTTTGGGGGGGGGGGGGGGGATTACACTTCATACGCAATCACAAATTTCCTGTGGAAATTTGTCCCAGCGTACTTACAGTACATTTAAGGCATAAAGAGGCAAAGAAATCTGTGTAATTTTCATTCCGCGGATTGAACAGAAATTGTGATTCTGCGAAATTATGACCTCGTGGAAAAAAGTATGTTTACAGTAACAATATGATGCAAATACTCTCCAGTTTCTAAAAGGTCTATGAAGTTGAAATTTTACCATTCTGGCTTTCATTAGGCCTAATTTTCTAACAATATTTGTGAACTGTTAAAGGTATATGTGCATGTATAAATGCAGATCTATTCCAGTGCTGGCAAAGTTAATTTCTAGTCCCTTATGAATGCAGTTAAGTGCAGATCTTACCATCAAAACTGTGTTTCTCTGTTGGGCTTGATGGCTGTGACATTGAAGCGTATAATTTGTCTCGTTCCTTCTCTGCTACTTGACAGATTTGCTCAAAAGAGGAATGTCTTGGCATTACATTCTTCCTGGGAGCCCCGTCCCCTAGCCCTGGAAAAGGATAACACAACAATAACTATTGGTGTTTTCGAATAATTTTTTTTTTAAAAGTGTCAAATATTTCTTAAAATATTCTTACAATTGTTTCCGTTTGTAAGGAAACTAAATTGAAATATTACGAGACTGGAATTTTTATGTAAAACCGACTGCATATAACATCATTTTATCTGGCAATATAAAGATATCCAGCTTCATAATCCTAATTTTGAAAAATTTAACACAATCATATCTATTGCAAATCAGAACAATTTATTAAGGAACAACCCATATATTGTAAATGTATATATTCTTTCTGATCCTTAGAGAAAACCATCAATAAATCAATCTTCATATGATTTAAACATTTACTGAGTGGAGTTCCTCACTTTACTTATTCCCATGAATGGACAATGATCCGGTAATGGATATAACAACAGAATACGTGCTTTTAAAAAATATTTTTTGTCAAAGGTTTCAAATATTCCTTTACAAATTCTGACAATTTCTTTTTAAGAAACTTAAATTGAAAGATCATAACAGACTTGAATTTTTAACAGCATTTCAATGTGATACTGACTGCTTGTATTAATTATCATTTTATCTGGCAAAATAAAGATATCCAGCTGTATTATTTGAAATATTCCAACATATGACCAATTGACCATACATGTATGCATCATAGATGAAAGCAGTTTATTTAGAAACCCATAGTACTGTAAATGTACATTCTTTTAGAAAATTAGAAAAATCCAGATCTCATATGAACTTGAAATGTATCAAGGAAGCTAACTTCACTAATTCCCATGAATGGACAAAATTTAAGAGTATGGATAAAGTCTGTAATGGACGGATGCTCAATGAATTTCATGTTACCCAGAAATTTGAGTAGTAGTGAAAAAAAATGAAGTACCACCAGAGAGGAAAAAAGTTCCTTTTAGTTTAGAAAAAACCATGCCAACTTCAATTTGTAATTTTATATATTTAGAAACACTACCTTTGCAATCATTAAAAGGTGAGTTTGGTCTAATAGGTCGGTAACCATGTGTTGATAGAATTTCAGACACTGCAAAAATTGAAAAATGCTTCATTCTACACAAACTGGTTCAACTAAGCAAAACTTTCGCCCTCAATATCTGTTCCCAAGTATTGACTGGAAGAGATGAATGCTAATCTGCTACAAGTCCACTTGCTGACGAGAGCAAATTAGGAAGGGCCTACCTATTTTTTTCAGTAAAAAACAGTGCACATCAAGTAGAAAATCCAATCCAATGCAAAACACAAAGAAACAGAAAAAACTGTATATCAAAATTTCAGGAAATGGCAAAGTATGAATACCTTGATTCCATACACATAAAGAAATGGCTGTTCCATATATACAGTCAAACCTCGTCATCTCAAACTTGATAGGACCAAGAAAAAACTTCGAGATGTATTCGAGATATCAGGGATAAAATAGTTAAAGAATGAGTGATGGGGACTTCCAAATCACTTCGACATATCCATGGTATTTGAGATATCAGTGTTCGAGATACCGAAGTTCAACTGTACTTTAAAAGAGATTTATTTTTCTCTAGCCAGTGTAACATGTAAAGAAAAATTGATACATACTTTGCTGGTTCTTGACACAGTCAAGCATGGAATGTCTAGAAGTCGGTCGATGATACCCATCATGGTAACACACTGTAAAAGACATGGACAGATGATAATGGAGATTCATTAAAGAAGTATATAAACAAGTCCCGAGGTTTTGATACGAGAGATGTGCATGACTATTCTGTATTTTGCAGTGTAACTTTTAAGCACTGGAAGTTTATAAAGCTTATATTAAATTATTGAAAATTGTTTTAAATATAAATTCATATTTCATTAAGATTAATCTCCAGAATTTTGCAGCTACAAGAAAATTGCAAGAAATCCAATTGTATAACATTCCAACCCCATGCCTTTGGTATTACTTGTAAAAAAAGAAATCTTAAAATTGCAATTACAGGAATTGGAAAGTTATCATTGAAGAATCAAATTCAAATTTTATTCTGGAAAAGGACTACATGTAGTAAGGGCATATTCCTAATCCAGCAATAGTCAGATTTTGTCTTGAATAAATAAATATATAACTAGCTATTTTGTTTCCATGATGTCACTAAGTAGGGGTTTCCCATTTATCTTAAAATAAACAAAACGCCAAAATTCTGATTCTGAATATCATCCTACACATCATATCTATAGACTGAGTCTGGGTTGACCTGCCTTTGGCATTTCCTAATAGACATATATGTTGTCTCAAAAATCAAGGATTTCTTTTTTCAGGATCTTATGCCCTGTTCACAGGAAAATGCATTAAATATTTAATTCACAGTAAATAAGTGCAAAGTAAAATAATGTGGATCAAAATAATGTGGATTGCATTCACATAACAGTAAATGTGAAGTGGATCAAAATAATGTGGATTGCATTCACATAACAGTAAATGTGAAGTAAAATAATGTGCATTAAAATTTTATTTCTACAGTAAGGGGCTATTATGACATCATTTGCATATCACATCACTTTACGCAGAGCAGATATACATTTAACATAATGTCATTGTGTTTGTATACATTTTTTGTGATAAACTTAATTTTCCTTTTTATCACTCAAAATCAGCATAAGTAACTTGACATATCTGACCATCGACATATGGCATATGGATTAATTTTGCTATTACACATGTGTCAAAATTTAATTTCAATTAATTCCGCTTTGTGTTCACAAAGAGTTAATGCAAAGTAATTGATGCACAGTAGTTAATTCTAGTTAAAATAATGTTTTATTAAATTGTCCATAAAAAAGAATGTGGTTCAAATTTAATTCGCAGTAACTTACGTTTAATTAGAATATAACTCTCTGTGTGAACCGTATAATAGAAATTAAAAATTTATATCATTTTCTTGATTTCTTATCTAGCCTCTCCAATAAGATCACAACTGATTCAAATAAATTAATAATATGAAGTCAAGCAATATTCAAATGGTTAAGTAAACAATCGTTTCTCCATAAAAGTTTGATTTTGGAGGCAGGTAATACCTTTTAGTCTATTTAGTCCTTTCCCATTTTGCAGTATTGAATACCTTGTATATATAACATAAATATGTACTTTAGCATAAAAATCATTCTATCTCATGTTTTTGGACTTTGAATATTACAAACCATTTAATTCATGAACTTGTTCCAGATCTGGCCCTATATACTGGTAGGTAGGTTTTCTATCCCTGATGTCGGTGATGCGAATTTTCCTGATAAGGTCTAAAGTTGCTAAAATATTAGCAATGTCATAAAGTCTCCTTATTTTTGCTGAAACAGGAAAAGAGATACTCATGAATACATCTTTATTTGAAAAATAATATTATTAAATTATTTTGAAAATGCCAACAACACTCTAAATCACAAACATGATTACAATGTCATAACATTTTAAGAAATAATTTATAAATTTGATAATCAAAACTTTTTGATCAAAATCCTTCAATATTTCTCTCGAGTAAAGATTTCCTCTAGTTATAACAATGAAGAACCTTACTTTTGAACTTGGCATTTTCTGTCCTGTCAATATTTGGATCTCCAATTAGGATTTTAGCTGCCAAATCCAAGTTGACCACTCTAGGCTTAAAATAAATAGAATTCCATGTGAAAATAATTTCAGCTAATTTGCAAAATATTTGACATGATTTAAACAATAAAATGCTTTCTTTGGTTGTTAGTATGGAAATTAATGTTCCAGCTGTTGCAGAAAAAATGCAATTTTTAATCTGCAACAACTTCAACATTAATTCCCATACTAACAAACAAAAAAAAATTTATTGTTTATATTTATATCTGTATAAAAAAAATCAATTAAACTAGGATTTAGTAGATGAAATACTGTATTATTGACATATATGTCATTGTACGTTTCATTGATGGAACAACAGCCACTGCTCAAGAAATCTGTAGAGGTGATATACTCAGCGGTGTTTATTGATAAATGCAGGCAATGGTTTGAAGAAATAAAGGGAATGTAAATATAAACAATGAGGTTAATGCTAAAAATAGCTTCATGGACATGTTTGCATGTTTATTCACATTTGTTCTTTGTACATCTTGAAAAAAAAAAAAAAAAAAAAAAAAAAAAAAAAGACTTCCCAGTTTTCTTTTGAATTTTATCTTACATTGGCCTATTTCTAGTAGTTTTACAGAATGGGATTTTTAAAAATCCCTTTCATGGGATTTTTAAAAATCTCTTTCATTCTTTTCTTCTTAAAAATCTATCTTTTGGAGGACCTGACCCTACATTTCAAGAAAAAGTTGAAATTTCTTCAACATCCATGATTAATATGAATGAAGTTTTGCTTTAGCCGGCCAAGTGAATAATATATATTCAAGTTTATAGATGACACAAAATGGAAGGAAACAATAAGCTATTATAGCAACAGGTTACTTTAGTGTCTGAGACCAAACATTACACTACATATTGGACCATACTTGAGTACATTGATGTTCTAATACATGTGAAAGTTTTATGATAAAACTTACCTTTGACACCAAGAAGAGCATAAGGAACTTCTGACTCATAATGCCTAATGACTTGTCTTTCCTCAGTAAAGCTGTAATTAATAATATTTGCAATCAGAATAAAAATTTCTGTAATGTTTAAAAATATAGGAATACTACAAGTCACAAAATTAGTCTTTCTCATAATTGATTTTACATGAATGTGCTCCAGTATTGGGAATGCATATTTAGCAAAGCTTGGATTATTTTCTTCATCATTTTTGTACATGTAATTGTTTTAAATATATAAAAAATTAAATATATTCTCCTCATACCTGCATTAGGATTGTCTGGATCCATTATAAATGGAGGGGGAGCTGTGTATACACTGCCATTCTGCTCTGCAAGTTCACGGTTCAGTTCATAATCTTTCACTTTTAGCACTAATTCTCCAAATCCTTCAGCATCTGCTAATGCCTACAATAGTGTGTGGAATTTATTCTACTGTTTAAGGATAACACAATAAATTTTCTTTTAAAATTTATTTTAAATTTTTTCTTGCTTAAATAGGTGCCTCTCTCCCTAAAGAAGAGATATCTGCTTAGATAAATAACTTTTACATTTGGCCAAGCCACATGTGAAGAGGTAACTTTACAATTCAGTAAAAATTTTGGTAAGTAAAATATCATGAAGTTTTGTTACTGTGAAGTTTATGGAAACATTTTCATCAGAATAATTGCACATTTTACATGATTAAAATTTCCTTATCAAATATCCTTTAAATGAAATATTGAATAAATAGCAAGGTAACACTTCTGCGTGGAAGAAAAAAAAATTGTTTGTGGTACATATCTTTAATATGCAGAAAAAATAAAATAGGATGAGGAATTATTTGTTTTTTTCTTCGATTCTGTACAACAGAAAACACATAAAATGAAAAGCTCACCTTTAGTTTAGCTAGAGTATTGACTAGGTTAGTTTTCCCATGCCACGCATACTTATTCTTGGCTATTCTGCTCACTATCTCCACACTTTCCAAAACATTGACAATGTCATATATCCTTCTCCTTTCTACAGCTACAAAATACAATAGAACACTTTAATAACCAGAAATTAATACATTTCATGCAACTCTGTCATAAAGTTTTTCACTCTATGGTGCATCTTGCATAAATAGCTTAGAAAAGAAATGGTATGCCAGAGGACAATTTAAGAAGTTTAAACAAACTAGAATCTAACCCTTATTCTACATTAATCAGTACACATGTAACCAATTGAAATATATAAAAAAAAATTCAAACTTTTGAAGTCCATTAGCATTTCTTGCATAACAATGTTTTCACAACTTTTTAAAAATAAATATATGCATATATTTGTGTTACCTAATTCCTTTGCTACTTCATCAAGTGAAATTTCTTGACTTTCTTCAGTTTGAGGATTCACTGGGTACTTCTGAAGAAACCTACAAAATTAACATTGTATTTCAACCTCACTTTCAACTTATTAAACTATTATAATAAATAAAATTACAAGGAAATAAGTTTTAACTTCCTACTTTTGACAGAGAAGGCCTAAGGACTTTTCCTTTCGAGATCCTGGCTTCCAGTCTCCATTTTCATCCTCAACTTGTGAAGCTGCCAGTTCTGCATCAAGATTCAGGGGCTTAAATTTTCCTCCCATTTCATCACAGTCTTTCCCTTCATTTTCTTCCAACTGTTTTTCTCTGTTCCTTAGTTCTGGACTTACAGCACTGAAAAGCATTTTAAGATTTGCTGTGGGGGTAAGAGGCGCTGAAGTTTCAGGGTTTTCCGTCGGAGTAGAGGGTCTTTCACCTATAGAGTCCACTGAAGATTCAGAGTCATTTTTCACCCTCTCTGACTTTGGAAGAGGTTCAGATTTGTCTGATTTTGAAGATGATTTTTTGTCTTTTAATGGAGAAGCCTCCTTTTTAGATCTTGTTCTGGCTTTCATGTTTTCTTTGTCAGCTGATGCCTTGATTCTTGGAGAGTTGTGTTTACTTGCAAAAACACAAGTATTTTGGCTGTTGACTGGAGAAAATGGTATCCTGTCTACTTTGGAATTAGATTCAGTAATGGATTCGTCAATAACTGGATTTGTGTTGAGAAGATACAGTGAGGATGAATTTATTTCTGTCATTTCTGAAGAACAAGAAATTAAATACATAAGATTAGGTCATATACATCTGAAGGGTTATGTAAATAAAAATCGATTTTCATAATTTAAAAAAAATGTCTTATGCATACATGCCAACTTTCCCGATTTTTTCGGGAGTCTACCGATTTTTAACCCTACCTACCGCTTGTCTACCGATCTATTTTTTTAATCCCATTTCTACCGATTTTTAGGAATTCCGGATTTTTTACCGATCCGCTTTGAATAATACCGCATTTCCGTGTGAAAAAAGATGGCAGTTCGAATGTTTATCAGTAGATATATGTTTATTGCCGCTGATAACAGGTAATCAACAAGGTGTCAACTGTGCAACCAGTCATTACTGTGGTTTTAATTGCTCCCGATTCTCATTAACAGTGTATATTAACCTAGACAAGCATGCCAGATGTGGAAATTTTAGAAATACACACGACAGGATACAAACTTATGACGAAATCACACTTTACAGCAAAATTTGACAATATACGTATAAGCTGTTAATAAAAGGTTTTCAAGTTTAGGAAATACAGCATTTCTCACTATAATTACGAACTACGTCATTGATCATGGAAAAGACACTGCCAAAATCCAACTTGAAAAGATGCGTCTGCAACATAGGTACTATGGTTTTCAAGTACAAACCGTTAGTTTTTTAAAGCAGAATTCCAGGAGTGGTTCACAAAAAGTTAGAAAGGAGAAGACGTATCATGCCTTTTACAGACTTTGTATGAAAACATTTAAAGTGACTTCTTCTTAGTATTCCCTTTGATTTAAAAAAATACAAATAAATTGTCTGTGACTTAGTAGCTTTATAAAATGTGTAATTTACCAACAGACAAAAACAGTAACTGCATGAACTCTTTTAGTAACTTGCATAATAGCTTATTTGTAATTAAGTTTAACATCCTTATCCATGCAATATCTGCATTGCTTATGGCAGGGGGGTAATGTTTATCTTTATATTAACATATTAAATAATTTTGATTAAAATTTTCTTTTTTAAATTTCAAATAATATTGTGTTTTTGTTGAAGTTGATAGAGAAGAAAACACTATGAAGTAGTGATAATATATGATACAAGGTATTAGACTGATATTTAAAAAAAAAAACAACAAATACTTATTTTCACGACAAAATGCCGCGAATTTAGAACTTTGAAAAATGTCGTTACGCGCAATCTCCCCCAAGGAAATTTTCAAAAGTTGGCATGTATGCTTATGATAATAAAATTTATCTGATTACTAACAAATATATGCTTAAATTTTCTTTACCATGATATAAGAATTATAAAAATCTTTTTCTTATATACTGTATACTACACTGTTGTTTATCAAATCTCATTTAACTTCTAAATTCTATTTATATTTTCCACATCTTCTTTTCAAATGTTTTACATGCCAATTATTGGTGACGTTAAACAGAGAGACCATCATAGTAATACTCTTTGGCAAGACAAAGAAAAATAAAACTGGCGTATGTTTCAAGTACGAGTGTAAACAAACAATATGCATATTACCGCGCCAATCGTCTCTGTGATTTACCGAGCTTTTTTTTTCATTAAAAATACAAAGATATCACAATCTTTTGGACATTGAAAAATAGTTACCTGTTTTATGGTTATTTCACTGATAAAAAATATAAAATATTCTTCGTATTATTCCCAAATATTCCTGTTGGCGTTCAAACGATAGACGAATACTAGCGCGTTCGAATTTGGCGCGTGATCGTATGCCATAGCGGCCCCTCATATGCACATCTGTTAATTCATCGGTGAGAAAGCAATTATTTAACCGTTAGGTATAAAAATGTTGATCAAATGATTAATAATTAAAGTTATTAAGTTTAACTGACCATTCCTTACGTAATTTACCCTGGGGACATTGGTAAGAATATTGATTTATGGATCGGGTAGTTTAGGTTCCGCCAAATATGTAGGTCACAACTGAGAATGGACACGTTCCTGTTCGCGGAAAAATTACGTTCTCTCTCATTCACATATTTTAATCATAAATTTTCACAATCACATCCTTTTAAACACAGTAAGAGGCATATTGATGGCTATAAACATTTGAAAAAGCATCTTCTGGCCTATTTTCAGACGATGGACGCTTCCTACTGAGTGACCCTCCCGTGAACGAGATAGGTCGTAACAAGTTTATCATTTTGACCTGGTACATCCAGGGGGACTGGTCTTAACCCTGTCATGTTATAAAATACGAAAAGTGAATACTATACTAACACTGATAAACATAAAAATGATTTGGCGAACTAACGGTATCGGTTTGATTGATTGAAGAAGTACACAACCCTACAAATGCACATTCAGTACGTGTAATCCACATGATTCTTAGATATTGCTACCGAAAGACGCTAGATAAACACCATAAAGAAGCTCTATTCTTAAAATGATAAAATAATGGTCTACATTACCATAATTAGTGGGTCGTTACAGAGGATATCTTGCTATATTTCACCCTCCATGACTCGTTCGCTACGTTATTTGGCGCGAGATGTTGAGGTTTTAGTTACCGCGTTACCGCCCACTTTCAAACAACCAATCAAATTAAATTTCTATTTAAGGCTCTAACTCTTCGACCAATCAGATTTAAAAGTGATGACAGATCAAGGGTCAGCAGGCTGGTCGAAAGGTCATTTGTTTCAAACATGTCTAGTCAGTGCGTCGGTGAAATCTATGTACTTATGGAATGACATGTTCAGACGAAACTTATGTTCAATATTTTGTTTTAATTTTAAGGAAATATTTGTTTCTTCTTTTTTTATAAGAAATATTCCATGAAAATACAACTCGTTAACATCAACAGAAAAAATATTGCGGGAAAATATATTGATCAATGTCAACCATGACCCAGATTCCTGTTTCGAGACTGTAAACACACATTTTAATGACGTAGTACTCTCAATAAAAAAATTTCCCGCAAAAAATCGGTACTTGCATGCAAAATGCATGCCGAGGTTGAGGGTAGCGGGAATGCATTGTTGAGCATCCTATCTGCAACGGTGGCTTAATTAGGTCAGGTGATTAAGAAAGAAGAATTTTAGATATTTATACAGCTTCCTTTTTAAGGCTATGAATAACAATATAATCATGGAATATTGTAATATATATATATATATTCTCTTATTGCATTATTTCTGAAACCAGAGACAGACATTGTATCTTGCCTGTTTAGCATTCTAGCAGATCTTTTGCTAGTAGTTAGCTTGGTTGGCAAAGCATATGGCTAAGGTTGGGGTGGGCTGGACATATGTTGGTTGGTAATTTGTCACATTTCTATCACTTCTTGTATGATGCCATACCCTGGAAGTTCAAGTGCAAGTAAATTTTCAGGGGATGGAGACAAATACAAAAGTCGAAAAAATGTGGTAGTTATGTGTAGGAAGGTTTCTTTGCTGGAAGTTGGATAAGTCAGTCTGGCATCCAGGGGTCTTGGGTTCAAACCCTTCTTCAGGTTGGGAACAATAGCCCAAATGGGATATAATAACCCGTCTGGGATAAAATATCCCAAATGGGATATAAATTTACAGTGCAAAAAAAAAGAAAATTTTGATTTTGGCAAATATCATAAATCCGCATCAAAATACTGTAAAAGGAATAATTAACTTTTGGCAAGCAAGTTTTTCTGCAATCCTACGAGTTGATAGATTGATGCCCAAGAAGTTTACGAACTTCCGAGGGATCAATCTCTTAAACAGTGGTTCATACAGAAAGACTTGTTAACCAAAAGTTATTCCTTTATAAGTACTTAGATGCGATTTGTGATATTTATAGCCAAGATAAAAAATTTTCATTTTTTGCATTGTAAATTTAATATCCCATTTGGGCGATTGTTCCCAACCTGTTCTTGTTACACCTTTAACTTGTTTTGGTATTGTTTGTGCATGATTAATTTGAAGTCGAGCTTGTTATATATCTAGAAAAGCATATTTCTAAAATTTATGCGAAAAAATTATAAATAATCTGATAAATTAATAACGAGTTCAGCTAGGGCATAGTACAATGAAAAGAAATCGAGACACTTTAAATCACAATATACATGTAGTTTGAACTGATTTGGAGGATGGAAAGTTGCAGTATAGTTTGAACTGATTGGGGGGGAAGGAGGGGGGTGAAAAGATGTGGAAGGGAAATGGGGTAAGCTCTGATAAAATGTGAGAATAATGGAAGAAAAATATGGTATTAAAAGCCTATATTATTATGCTGATTTTATGAGAGCTGCAGTGAAAAAGAAGGCCTAAAAATGCTATAGAGTTGGAGGTGTAAAGAGATTAGTTGCCAAAGAAGGAATGTTTGAATTGAGAAGGATATATGCCAGGATGGATGCAGGATTTTAGCGAAAGCTCCAGGTCAGGAAATGTATCAGCTTTATAGGAAGACAATGTGCTAGTTATGTTAAAATAGTTAGTTGATTTTGTGAAAGGGTTTCATTTTTATTTAGTTTGTATAAAGATGGTAATTTAACCAAGATTTTTATCCAAAAAAAATGTAAGGGCAAATTCCTGGCAAATTCCTGGAAAATGGAGATGAACTTTGACCAAGTTGGAGGTGCCCACATCTCGAAAATTGGTCACTTAAGAAAAGAGTCTCTCTACATCTAGAATATACAGTTTATTATCTTCCCATTCCCTCCATTTATCTTAATAAGATAAATGGAGGAAATGGGAAATGGGAATTTACTGCAAAGGAAGAAATTGTAAACATTGTTTTGATTTATGAATGTACAGTGTACAGTATTTATGTTTAGTCGCCCACGTGGTGCAGTGGTTAGAGCGTCTGCTCTAGAATCGCGGAGTAAGGAGTTGATTCGTATGTCGCAGGTTCAAATCCCACTGCGGGAGGTGGAGACCGGTCCTTCGGATGAGACCGTATAAACCGAGGTCCCATGTTGCAGTAGGTGCTGGCACGAAAAGATCCCTCACTGCTCAGTGGCCCTGAGTGCCGAGTATAGGTCAAAATTTGTAGCCCTCCACCAGCAAGTGGTGGCGTCTCCATATGAGTGAAAAATTCTCGAGAGGGACGTTAAACAACAATCAATCTGAATCATTAATTTATGTTTAAACTTTTATAATCAAAATGACATGTATTATAATAATGGATTTCCTTTTCTATTATAGTAGTACATAGTTAATATTTTTTCTCTTGATGTTTTGTATTTTGAATTTCAACATAACGTCAACAATGTCACTGATCTACAAAGAGATCAGCAAGATTTATTATCTGAAGTTTGTTTTCTCCAGGTGAAAATTATAAAAAGAATGCTGCTGACAAGTTCAGTGTTTTTTTTTGCTACATCATACGCAATTACCATTACTGAGTCTGAGGCAGACAGAGAGCTATTCCATGCAGGCAAAGTCATGTATGTAATTAAATTTTTTTTATTCTACGCAGGAACAATTGTCAGTATAAGTGCATTTTTTTTTTCTTTAATAATTATTGATTTACTGCATTATGGTTTATTATCAGTGTCAAGTAAACAAGGTGCTTTATTTATTTTTTTTTTTTCAGAAAGACCTGAGTAACTGCTTTTCCCCTTTCATTGTAGGTGGCATGGTTTAAAAAGCATTAATTGCTCTCGAGGAGGAATCAATGATGTATTATTGCTAGTAACACGTGAGTCACCAAATGAAACTCCAGTGTTTTGCTTACATGTGTTTTTATCAATACTTCTTGTGTACAATCAACATGCTGTCTTGAGCGAAATCATTGGATTTTCACACTTTGAAAAAAAAAATGCTGGAAAAAAAGGATTAAATTTATGTGATTTACATAACTTCTGGAATTTAGATAAAGAAACTGCAGAGTGTACGAGAAAAAAAATTTGAGTACCGCTGGTGTGCTTTTTTTCGCAGATAATGGACAACTGCCATGTGACCCGTGTGACCTGAAGATTGACCAATGGCTGCTACTGCTGGAGTTCAAGGGAGATCACCTGTGATGGCCAGCAGTGTTTGTCAAACAATCACAGTAAGTTCATTTGCTGTATGTAAAGTGTCAATTATGAGATGCTAAATACAACAAAATGAGAAAAAAAACAAAAAGTTGATCCCATAAAAATCGTTCAAGAAATAGCTAAATTATTTGAAGCATCAGGTCATTTTTTTTTATTTCAAGAGAATCATTGCATTTGCCCCATTGTTGATGCACTTATCAGTTTATGTGCAGTAGTGCATATAGAAACTGGGTATCATATTGAAGTTTGATATTTGAATTACATGCAAGGAAGGTTTGTTACGCTGTAAAAAAGAAATCAAGATTACTCATGGACGTGGTGCAATAAATTATTTATCACATGCACAGTAAAGCGTGTCATTCAGATTTTCTCAGTTTCCACAACACGTTGTATGGGAATTCATGATCTTTTCAGCTAAAACTTAAGTTTCGTATGAAAGTTCATGATAAAATTTGATAAAGTTGCATCATCTTAAGACATTTGAAGGGATTTGGAGGGTTTGTAATTCACTTGTGGGAAATTCTGCACGTGAGCATGCAACAGTGATTGTTTCTCATTCATGGTGATTTGAAATTTTGGTGATTCATATATCAACAAGAATTGGTTTCAGGAGTAATGAAAGATTAGTCCTAGGAATGTGTGGAACTAATTTAAAAGTTTGACAGTTTTACTGAGTTTTTATAAACAGCCCTACTGATATTTGTACATGTATTAGCATCTTCGTTATGCAAGGTCAAAGTATGTGTGTATATAGTATGTAGTACCGAAATAATTATACATTTGATGTCTGTATTTGCAATTGATGCTAAATAAACTACTATCTGAATAATCATTAACATGCCCCATATAAAAAAAAGAGAGAAAAATGAGTTAAATACTAGTATGTTAGAAGCAGTTCTAACCAATAAAAAGAATGAAAAAAAAAAACCCAAAGGAGTAAGTAAGAAACAAAAGAAAAATAAAACTTACAAGCCCAAACCAAACCTA